TGCGTTTAATCCTCCTATCCCCAACCTTGCATCAGATATGCAATCTACTGTATTTAATGAGAATGGAATATAGTAGTCAGCCTTGGTTGTTTTTCAGCTGCTTCTACCTATCTAGAGATGTACCTAGTTTGACCGCAGAGTCTAACAACCGGACCGGAAGTACAGACCATGCTGCAGCTAATTTCCTGAAATTTATGACGTTGTACACGTTCTGTGTAAGGATATATAATTGGTTAGATTCCACAAATCTCGCTGCTTCCGGCCTGGCAATGAAATAGAGTGATAGAGGTTATTGTAATTCTCAAATTAGACTGAATGTTACTACCGTACCCATTGAAGTAATTTGCGGATGTTTCGTTTAATACCAGATTAAAATTTGTCAGGATACCCGGACGATTCCTAAATCATCTCTTCGTTCAAAATAGAATGTCACTTAGAATAATTAGTAGCCCTCATCCCGCTGATGGCGAACATGAAAAGAAAACTAGAGAAGTCGGAATTTGCACCGTTTCGCGAGAGATTCATCACCTGAAAATGTTCCTCTTATGTATTACGTTACCTTTTCTGACTAGGCCTTCTTTTGCTAGTTCGATGCTATACCAGCTCGTCAGTGCGCAATATCTGCTTGATATTTACCCTCTCAGGACTTTTCCCACAAAATGTGCCATACGTATTTGAAAATACGAATTGATTACTATTCACTGACAGGCTAATTTGCGTCTTACCATATTCGTTTACTTTATTATAACCCTGTCAGTTATTTGCAGTTGAAAACGTAAAAAGCCCTTTAACGGATATAAGAAACTGTACTTTAGTAAATTAATATTTGAAAGAAGCACCAGTGGGAACATCGACTCTACCGACCGCCTAGCAACTATGGTGTTGGTGATTTGAGAAGTATGAGGTTCATTAGATTTGTTTCACTATGGTCAGATACTTAGCAGGTGATGGTTTCCTTTTTAGCGTTTTTGGTTAGGAGGTTGGGCAGATTCGATTAATTTAGTTGACCAAATTGTGAAAAAAGACAATTTGTAAAAATTTGTAAAAAAACTGTTTATACCTAAAACTTTTGTCTTTCTACATGATCCTGTTTAACTTATTTTCTGCTGCGCTTTATTGGCAGTCTGTCAGCACTCAGCGGCGACTGGACAGATATCAAAAGCTAAAGATGCAACCACCTTTTATTTTTAAAGTAGCATGTGGAGATACCATTTGTTGGAACATTGAACCTAGCGACTGCTACAGTATCGTACCCAATCAGGATGTGTTCTGATTTTGGAAAGTATTTGAGTTATTTCCAAAACCTCTGTGGGACCCTCGGGCATAGTATACTATACTTTAGTTTGCACTTGCTCATGTACCGAGTTATTCGGTATTACATTACACTATTGTATTACTATAAAAATACACTGGGCTCACCCGTGTTAAGGAGAAGATACAATAAAATACATAGTTGTAAAAATGTTCGTAAGTACCTGACTCTGCTTCATATGCCTAAATTCAATCGGTACGCTTATTTTTGTGCTTCCAGCGTGACTGCCCCTCGGGTCAGCTGAGTAAAAAGAAGTTTATCGAAGTCTACTCTGGATTTTTCCCTGACGGTGATGCCGACCAGTTCTGCACGCACGTCTTTCGGACATTTGACAAGGATAATTCAGGGAAAATAGACTTCAAGGAATTCCTCTTGGCCATTAACATAACATCTGGCGGTCAACCAAAGGAGAAATTGGACTGGGCCTTCCAGATGTATGACATTAATGGCAATGGAACGATTGAAAAGGGTGAAATGGTGGAAATAATTAAGGTAAGTTGAGTCTTCGGTTGTTTTCAACAAGTTATATTTGCTTTTTTACTTGCATCTAAAATCAATGAGGAGAATACACATTACTTAAGTAGATATGTTTACAGAGTTTACATTCCGCCGTCGATTATTAAAAAAATGCCTTTGAAAGCCGATACTCACACGTAGCTGCAATACCTTAAGATAATGTTGCACTATAATTATTCTTACAAACCCACTTATGTGAGTTGTTCGAATCGAAATCACTTTTCAGAAATTCGACTGACTTCAAGAGAAAGAGAAGCTGTGGTAGTAGAAGTAATAGAGCTGTATAAGACAAGCTTTGTCGTCCATTGCTTCACGTACGTTCCGGAAAGCTTGCCGAGTCCCCGGGCATATGTTTCCATTGCATATCAGATGCCAGTTATTAAGGTGAAGGTCCATGGTCAACTCAATATAAAATATCGCCTAACGCACTGTCGGCTTGCCCTTTCACAATTTTTGTAATCTGTACACACTTTAAAATAGACTATAGCAAAGATTTTTCAAAGTCACCTTATCCATTCTTTTAAAAACTTTGTTTTCGACCAGAAACTCGTGTACACGTGTGGTGTGGGCTCTTCTGTTTTCCTCATTGCCACCTAAGCTCACGCTGTATTCTCTGGAGGATGTAGGCGCAACTGCACATTTCTAATCTACATAATTAATGATAAACTAGCCAGGAGGTTTCGTAAGCTATGATTGTAATCTGTGGACACGTTTTGCGAAAACAAAACAGACTAACACAGACTGCGTTATCTAGTTAACTTTTCGAAAGTTGCTCTGTGAGTTGTTTAAGTCATGCTTTACGAATCGCCAGCCTATTAATAAGTGCAACGATCTTCCCAATCCATATTTGGTGGTGAGATTTGGTTTGGCAAAGGCAATCAACCACTCAGGGAGCGAGCAGGCATGTACACTTTCCGTAGTCAAGCCGGTCAGCCAGGTGACCGGACAAACATCACGCCAACCTCCAATACGGGAAAGGAACATTTCGCAGATCGCAACCCTTATGCCGCCCACCCAGCCCCTAACGCGGCAGAGAGTAATCATCCTCGATGAGGGTGGAGCCATTTGGTGTGCGGGTGTAGAAATAGAAGATGCGATCTCTGAAACTAAAAGTGTATTTGCCTGATGCTTTGGAATTTGTCTTGAATCATTCACCAGAGATGACCGCAAAATAGGATGATAAATGCACACATTACCCGGTATTTAGAGAATGTATCGGCCATGCGGCCGTCTGCTTACAATAATTCACCATCGATTGCGGTCTTGATCGATGCGATAATGGCATGGCTGTCCGATTCCAAATCCTTAACTGCTCCAATTTTATCCTCCGTGTTGGATGTTGGTTTGATAATTAGGCGAAAATTAGGTTCATCGGAATTGTGGCTGGGTTGTTCACTCCTCACTTGACTGAATCCCCTGCTCGGGCAAAGTCTCAAAACGAAGTGCGACAACGACGTGTGATCGCGTTTGTTGATTGACGGTAAGCCTGAAAACCCCTGCCTCCAGTAACTCGCGGCTTACGCGGTTGTCACCTCTTCCAAGGAGTTCACCTTCGTTAAATTTGAAAATAGGACCGCGTCCTGGCATCCTTCCTCCTCAACACTGCTGTGCGCTCGGCCGTTCGCATCCGGAGTCATCTCACGGTATCTCCGACGTAGTTACTTTTTCCTGCCATTGCAGTGGGTGTTTCGCATTGGCTGCGGGCGTGAGAACAATGACTTCGCAGTTCGTAGCACGGGTGGTTGTAACCTGGGTATGCAGTAACCGTAAGACGGCATTCTATGAATACGGAAACTCCATGTGTACGAAAGACCGTTAACAGATACTGGTTCTGAATATGGTTTCGAGCTGAACTCCGAAAGATCAGTTGAATAAAGCTCTTGGTCCATTTATCGCGGCTACTTCTTCTCAAATTTTGACCGCGTAGCTGGGCTTCGCCACATAAGCCGCGTTTTGGGAACTATGAGAGTTCTCTTCGCTGCTGTTGCAGGGTTGGCTTTTTGAATCTGGAGTAATAGCTTTATTTCTCCGATGTATAATCAATGGCCAATCTCAAAAAATAGAGCGTCCTTAACATCACCTTAATGGTCCTTAAACGTAAGCTTTTTTCGAGTAGATATTGGGCTGATTTTTATCCAACGAAGAGGAAACATGTAAAGGGCTGGACAAGCCCAAAAATCCAAGGCATAATCTCATGACTACTGAATTGGGGATAGATTAGAAAATCAACGCGACTAAATATACTTTGAAAGAAAAGCGCGAAGCTGACTAATAAGAAGTAAAAGTCCAGAACCTTGCTTCGCGTCTTCCCTGACAATCCTGACTGTTGTCCGACAAACTCAATGACCATTCGCATTTAATATTAACCGATATTTCCAAATCAGTTTTTGCTTAGAAATGATAACTGAAATTTTGTTGTTAATCGATCACTGCACGACATAAGTCGCTGTTAATTCAAAAATTCCTTTATGTGGAAGTTGGATAGCGTACATTTTCGGTCGCCCTCAAACACCACCCACGATAAAAAAGGTCCGTTATTTACTCTGCATTTTTCCAATTGCTTTCATAAGATCAAAACCAACTCAAATGTATTCTTCAGAAACCAGGCTCAAAATTTTCCTTTGCTATAATCATTTGGTGCCAACTCATATGTCCGAATTTCGAACTTGAAGGAGGGCTATTCTTCTGTTATAAAAGTTTCGGATCATTACATTACAACAGTACAATTTCCACTGAAAAGATATCGTATTTGTCGGTTAAATAACGCCCCTTCTGAAGCATATTCATCGGTTTACACTCGTTGTATACTGGTATATCAAGCGGTATCCATAACGGGACAAAAGAGCTAATAATTCTCAAAATGCGGAAAACACTGTTTGTAGACTGCAAACCTATACACAAATGTAATGACGCATTGGGTTAAAACATGTCTATATAACACTTCACGTAACAACGTCTCCTGTTCATCGGTGGTTATTAGTAAAGCTCAGTATTTGCGTCATTGTAGTAGCTTTTCTGAACACCATGGTATAGAAGGTTATTAAACATTTGTTCCATTGGTCACCTCCCCTTCCACTAAAATGTTTCCTTTAATGCACCCATTCACCTGTATTGGTGAGATGAAAGCCTGTATTAAACGCTATTTTTCAAAGTTGGTCTATATTAAATTGATATGTCTTATTAGTTTCTTGTGCTTAAAAACTTTGCAAAGAAAGATATCTATGACATTTATGGAGTCCATAAGCCAAGACACGTTAGGATAAATGGTTTTAAAAGGTAACTCGTCAAGAGGCATGTCAGTACCCAAGAGACTGTGTTATTATTATTATAAATTATCGCAAACGCACAATGTTCCACACAATCTTCCGTACGATTATTATTTAATCTAATCTAACAATGGACTCTGTTGGACTTTATAACTTTTAAATTACAGTGAATGCCTTTCGGCTTTCGGTGCCGTTAAACAATCGTCAAGAAACGATAAGCTATTTTGTGCTTTTGGAAGCTTTCTTATTAGCATAGATCTTACGTTTTTACTCATGTACTGGATTTGCGGTCGTCTCCTTTCTGCAGATAATGGTTTTGGTCAGAACGTCAGATTGGACTTAATTTAAACCCTTACCGCTTGCAAATAGCTGTCGGCAACAAAGTCCTAGGAATGTAAATTGGGTTTGTGCTCACGCGAAAGGCGTTCACTACAAAGTTTTCTCTCTAGTAAAAAGAATAATTGGGATACCTAGGGAAATAACTCTTACGACCGTCATCCCCATGCGAGGCTGAAACAGAAAATACTGCAGCGGGTTGCCCGTCCTGGTAATAAAATGTTTTTGTCGTCAGCGCAAGAAGGCTCTTTCATCTTTGTTTTTCATTAGCCCTCGCTGTATTCGCTAAATACCAGACGCAGTTCTATGAAGATAAGTGTGCTGCGGAGTGGCCATATGGTGTTAGAACATGTTTCACATGATTAATGCGGCCATCTTACCTTTTCCAAATTAACTAATACTTAGATTTAAGTTACGCACACACAAGTATATTACTTTGTATCGAAAATTTGGATTGACCATTTGACACAACTCCCCTCGCAGTTGCATATGGAATATTCATATCGGACGGAAACAGGAGCTGCAATAAAGTCGGATATTGTCTGCTGACGTTATAATTGTGTTTAATCCCATAAAATTGCATAAGTATACGAATCGGACATTTTGAAGAATACGAAGTGAAAGAAGGAAACCAACTGACTGATTGTTTATTGAGAATAACGCATATAGGCATATAATGGTTTACCTAACCTGCGTAGACAATAAAGCGGATTTTGACGTCAGTATATGTGCATGGTATAGAGCAACGTTTGCAAATGCGCAGATACAATAGACGGAAATTTTAAGGAGAAGTTGTCTTGGAAGAAGACAAGAGTTGATGCTTGATTGAAATTACGCAGGAATTTTTAGACCAAATAATTAAGGGACACATGCTGCGTAAAAGAATGTTTTTATGGATAAAGAAGAAGACTGATTTAACAATGTCGACAACTCTTCTTCCTTATCCATACAAATACCTGAAACGCAAAATTTTTCATTTATTTGAAGAGGTTTTTATTGAGACACATTCATTTAATGGGCAAGATGAACAACATCCGACTGGATACCGACTAATTGACTCCATTACAATCCTTTTATTGTATAATTGTGATCATCTATTCTAGCCTCATATGCGTGCTGTAAATGCGAATGTGCATTTACCATTCTTATTGTAAAGGCTCTGGACTAATCTGTTACAAATGGTTTTCACAGAACTGTTTTATTTGTTTCGGGCCGCCTGGCTATGGTCTTCGTCAGGAGATGTCTCTCCCAACCTGTTCGGAATTTTATAGATCTCCATTCCACATCCTAGTAGGCTTAGAGGTTAAGCAAGTGGCCCTTGCGGTGCGTACTGTTAGCTAAAAATGACACTAAATCTGAGGAAAAAGGTTATATTACCATCAGGACACCAAATGGCTGAGGAGTTGAAATGATCTTTCCTATTGAAGACTCTGAGGCTACCGGACAATCGGGTTGTTTTGTCGATGAAAAGTGACCTAGATAAGAATTAGCATAGTGGCTTACCTAAATTTGAACTGTTTTCCTGAAGCCATCATCAGAGACATTAGGAGAAACGAGTAGTTCTTACACAGGAAGTTGCAGGATATATATGGTGC